TTTTTTCAAAACACCTCATACTTCTGCAAAAAAACATAAATTCATTTCTTAAAAAATACAGGTAAACTCACAGACCATATATCTCATGATAAAAAATGATTAAAAAAAAAATCCTACTTTTCTTTATATATTTTTTTTAATTTTGTTTAAATCGATTTTAGTTTTTGATTTTTTAAAAATCTTAAACAAAGTCGGTTTTTTTAGCCCTACACGCCCATATATATATATTTTTTTTCATGCATTAGAAAAAAAAATAAAAATCTTGCACCGAAGTCGGCTGGTCGGCCTAGGCCAACCCGGCCTATTCGGCCATCGGCCTAGGCCGCGGCTGACTTGGACCCCCCGGCCGTGGTCGGGCGTGCAACATAGTGTGTGTGTGAGCCTCCCCTTCCCCGCTAGGGATACCTTGCTAAAACAGGTAGCGAGTACCTGCCTTAGGCAAGGTACCCACTAGCTGCCTTAGAAGCCCTGCAGGTCGGAGCACTCTGACCACACAAACAGACAACACTTATAACAGAGATGCGCATCGGTATGGGTAGCAAAAAAAACAAGGGGAAGGCTACTGAGAAATTACCCTGAAATGTTGTCCCGTAGCATTGGTATCCACCCTGGGCGGGAGGAAGAGCTGGGGAGAGTTAAGGACACGATCCACACAACTGAGACATCCTCGAAGTGGGAAGCCATTATCATACATGAAAGTAATAATATGAAGGATCTCCTCAGCAGCTTTGCAATGATCAGTGCACAACATAAGGACAGAGGCAACCTGGGCTAAAATAATATTCAGTGATTGCTGGATGGGTCTGTTCGATCCATACTTAACGTACCTCACCACTGGGAATTTCAACAACAGTCTCTTGTCAAACTTCATAATACAGAAATCTCCAGAGGATTCAGACGTGACAACAATCTCGGCGTTCAGAAACTGCGATTTCAGACCATAGATCTCCCCGGTTGGGGTCGTTTCAAACACCTCCGTTTGATTCTTAATTTCAATGAGATGTTTCGGGTAGAGTGAAAATAATATATCGTTCCCTTCTTCATGCGATCCCTCCAAGAATTTCATGATGGCCGGGTTGTTAATTGAATGGAGATCGTCAATAAACCTGAATGTGTGCTTGAACAGGGAGAGGAGGTGGGTAGCCTTACGGTCGACGAGATGCATGATTAGGCTGTATTCATACTTAAAAAAATAGACCGTACACCAGATAAGGGAACATGGGAGGCCCATGGGAATCCCAGATACCTGTCTCCAAAAGTTCCTGCCAAAGGAGGTAAAGAAGTGAGAGACCAGCCACTCAGTTAGTGAAATAATCTCCTTACTGGACAAGTAAAAGGTGGAGGGAGATGACTATTTGTCCTTGTGGCCTTTATCAATGGAGGACGAGAAGGAACCATCCCTGCGGACTCTGCATCTAACGAGAATACCTCCCTTTCTCGCGGCAGCCGTTTTGAATGCCATCCCGACGAAGAATGATACAACAGATATGAGACTATCCTCAGATGAGTCTATCGGGATAGTTTCAAAACACCTCGTAATGTAAGCAGAAAAGACTGAAAAAACCTTGTTTGGGAGGTTGTAGCAGTAGTCCTGGACGGAGTCTATAGCCCACCAAATGGAAGTGTCTACTCCATGGAAGGATCTAAGACCATCAATAATCTCCTTGCAACGGGACATGACTAGAGGGGAGAGGGACTTCAGGACTACGTCACACAGCCGAGCAACTGGGGTGAGGAACGAAAACGATGCATTCGTAAGCCATTTGAATGCCATCTTGTGAGGTTTGTATAGGGCCATCAGGTAGGGTAGCTTCCTAGGTCCTTCGGGAATTGTGGGGAGAAAAGTAGATAAGGACTGGGATGCTTCATCCAAGATTTCGGTCGCAGTTGAATGAATAGGAACGAAGTCCTTGCTCCTGAGCCGTTCCAGGGCCAGTTTTCGTATCAGGTGAATGCATACAGAGGATGGGGTATTGGCCGATTTGTCCGTTCCTGCAATAAAAAGACGCTTCGATAGGAATTCTACCTCGCTCTTAACCGGATGAGTGTCTGTCACACACGGGGGCTCCAAGTGCCTTTTCAACCGTTCGAATCCTAATTGCGAACGCAACTCTTTAGACACGAATTCAGACGCTTTGGACAGCATACCCTTTGTAATAAGCAGCCTGTAACCAAGAAATGCGGTGACAAAACGCCATGCTTTAAAGAACTCGTGGAAGGCAGGACGGGGATTGCAGGGGCGCAGAGGTTTGTGATTCAGGCCTTGGGACATAGCTCGGTTAAAACCGGGAGGGCAGAGATTTTGGGGTCCAAAGAGAGAATATGAGCAGTGGGCAAGGCGAAGGGCTGAGCCATGTCACGAGTGCACGGGTGGTGATAGGGTAAAAATCGTTTCGTGAAACACAGGCAGCAGGGAGTCTTTCCACAAAACCCGATCCAATCATTCAGACGAAAATCACGAAACACCGAGGCCGGTCTATACAAAATACTCTCTAATGAGCTCATGTATGTCCAACCAATGACAATTAACGTCAGTAATTCACAAGCCTCACGCGGGAAAAACAGTTCCACAGCCCTCTCAAGGATAGATCTGAAGTGTACAGTCTCCATAGCCCTGCTTGTGTACAAGACGTGCACAAAACACTCCTTCCTATCTTCCGGATTCTTCTGCCACCTGGCACGGCCAGAGGGGTCACAAGTCATGAACCCACCCTCCTCCCCTGTACTATCCTGCACAATTCACAACACGCACATCCGAACAGTGATTAGGATTTGAAGAGAGATGCCCTGGAGAGTCCCAGACCTCGTGGCTCCTCCTTAACGGTCTACTGCATGCTGATGTCTGCCCGTCCTCCTGGACCGTGATGGAGGAGGAGGCAGGAGTACCCAAATCCACGAGGTCAGATGCATCTTTTGTTGGCGCAGCGCTGCTGTCCCTCGCAGGTGGAACGTAAAATTCCAAAATGGACGGCTGTGACTTCCTCGTTTTTTTCGCCAAGGAGGCGGACGCATCTTCCTTCCTCCGTTTCTCCGAAGACCGCACGTACCGTGCTGGGAGGATGAGTTTCGCCATGGTCCAGGGAAACTTGTGCAGCATGATGGCTGGGTCATCCAAAATGTTCTGCGTAGTCCTCGAAGGGTCTACCACTACATTGTACGCCATCTTAACCATGATATCCCTCATATGCGTAAATACTACCGAGGCTAGCATCGCAGCCCTCCAAGTGGACCTCGCCCTAACTCTAAATGCTCGTGTGCGAGCCTTGAGGGAAGGAGCCTCCGGAAACAAATAGTGGAGATCAGACAACAGGTACCACAACACATGGTCGAACCACGAGATGTTCCTACCACAGTCGCCTTTCCCTTCCGCAACACATAGGCACTTAAGGTAGGGTCGACCTACGTTCCAAATTCGTTTTAGTTCCGCCATAGCTGACTGCTGTTTCGGGGCCAAGAAACCGCGTACTGCAAGGGCAGAGGCGGACACACAACATTTGGTGTGGTCGAAGTCCCCAACTACAGGGAGTTTCATCATGGATGGAGTGAGTGGGTAGTTACCCTTAATTAGATCCGTGTTCTCCGTCAACGCTTTCTCTCCGCACTTCTTCATCTCTTCTTCAGTGAGTGAGGCCAGGAATCTGTACGAATCCGCGTGAATAGGAGCTAGATAGTTGAACGTGTACAGTTCCCACAGTTTGTCCCCCACCGACCTGGACTGAGCTTCTATCCATCTAGGCGGCGTGATCGGGAGGAAAGCGTTCCGGACGTAGTTATTGACCGTGGATCTCTGATTATCCGCGACCACCCTTAACTTCTCCTTCCTTCCCTCCGCTAATATCTTGGCGTGATAAGCCTTCTCCTCCTCCGTAAGAGGCAAGGCATCCTTATCCTCCTCCTCGTCCCCTTCATCCTCCCCATCCACACCCTCAATCGACAAGTTCGTCTGGACCAAACCTGCGTGGAAATTCGACTCAGCCCCAAAGAGGTCTACAAAAAACTTTTCCTTCATTGCGATGTTCACATCGACGGTGGCAGACACGTGGTCATCTTCTTCCACGATTTCCCTCGACTGAGTCACCAGAAACTTGGTGAGTTTGAGAAACGTAGGTTTGTCATTGGATGCAGTCCAGAGGAGGTCAGACCACAAATCGAACGAAAGGATGGTGATCAAGGGAGGGGAGACGTCTACCGAGTGCAACCGAACAAACTCTAAGATTCTTGGTGGTGCAAGCGAGATGAGGGCTTGCGTGGGGCGAGCTGGCGCGGGGAACATGTCAAGCCATTCCATACCCTCAACCAGAAGATCGGAATACCATTCGTTGCTCGAAAACGACGGTACCTGTTCCACAAGTAAGGCAAAACACATAGTGAGGATACTGTAATCAAGTAACCGATGATAGTGCCCAAGGATTTAACATGGAAACACCTCGACAGTCATTGCTAGATCATCACTTAAAGCATACCATCAAGGTCCAAGTGTATACTCGTAAAGGTGTCGGTTGACGCATCTTGAACAACAACATGATGATAGGGAATCTGACCCCGTCATCAGCAATGACAGAGAATATCTCAATGTGTGTGTGTTATGGTTTTACTGCGTGGCTTCCGTGATAGTATCACAGCATGTTGTGTCACGAATTGCATTAAAAAACAACACCACCGATCGAGTCACACCGTACCACTGCGGATTATGCAATACAAGACGGCGATCAAAATACCAATGACAATACCACGGATTCAACCACACATCATATCCATTACTGGGTCCAAGTGTGACAGCATCGCTCAAACTATGGTCAACCAAAACTCCCTCGCCTACTCATCGTAAGCACGTAGAGCTATGTTAAGCCTACTTCCTCCTCTCCGAGACAGAGTTACATTCAAAATGGGCATAGAGCGGCGGATGGGTATACGATAGTGACTGACCGGCCCAACGTGGCAAGATCCTTAGACTCATTCATTACATCCTATTGCTCAAAGTACGAGAAAAACAAATTACCCATCCAACACGGGGTGTTGCCGAAGTACCATGGAACAACCCGATAACCAGCATTCCAATTCTCAGAGAGAAAAACACATTTCACAGATAGCTATCCAATCGTGACATTCTTATGAACCGGTCATCTCACTAGGAAAGCAAGACATTATTTACCCCACTCCACCCTCCTATAATTGGTTCGATTCAGTATCGCTCCTCCATATCTACCCCAGTCTCATCAATGAAGGTGACTGATCTATCATATTTCGCTCCTACCCCCTGCGCTCACGAAACCGAGTGATTGCCTATACGGCGACAGATCAAATCACTTGTCCAGAAAACACCGATATACGGGAAGTTCGTTCTGTTAAAAAAAGTCATCACTCCGGCGAGCGTACGCACCCCCTGCTACCCATCATATCTTTTGTACCATTCGTACGATAGTAAATCATAGCGCTGCCAAAGCACAGTACTAGTGATTAGGGCAAGCAAGGATCCATGGAACGAAAACCAATAGGACAAGGCGATCATGCTGACGATGCAGGAAGAAGAGAGGGGGGGCGGGCCCACTGGGCAGGTCGACAAGTGCGAGGAACATGACAGCCATACAGTGGACATCATCAGGCCAAGAGAGATCAGAAGCATGAGAGATATGGCGACGAAAGAGGTGCCCAAGATGTAGGCAGACGGCATCGGGGATCGACAGAAAGCAGCCATGACTCCAACCCTGGGAAAGCATTAATCAAGCACCCTGCCACTTAGTCCGCACATACGCAACACAAATCCCGTTCGATGGAGAAGCCACAAAACGAGTTGCATGCATAACCCTCGGCTACTCTTTACACCACTTGGTAGATGGGGAACCTGCAGTTGAGTTCCAACACTCGTTGATGCAATGTAAGAGTCGGATCGACCGATGGTCCAAAAACGAAAGGAAGGCGAGATATGCCATGAACATCAAGACCGAGATGAGTGCCACGTGAAGCGCAATCAGCAGGTCCATCTTCGACGAACTCCCGTCGCTAAAATTCCAAAGATGGGTCTGTTCGATCCATACTTAACGTACCTCACCACTGGGAATTTCAACAACAGTCTCTTGTCAAACTTCATAATACAGAAATGTCCAGAGGATTCAGACGTGACAACAATCTCGGCGTTCAGAAACTGCGATTTCAGACCATAGATCTCCCCGGTTGGGGTCGTTTCAAACACCTCCG